TTTACTTTTATGATCACAGTTGACCTTATTTACACCTATTTTTTTGTTGTTGAAACCGATTTTTTATGAACGATTATGTTCACAACACTTGAATATCCACAAAGTAATGTCAAATCATTTTTATTCAGTAACCCGGCTTCATCTGGATCAGCTACTTCTGCGAAGCCACCTAGTAAGTTTATTACAGGATACTATCTAATTATTAATTTCAACTGAATTCGTGATGATATTACAACGATGATGATGATCATGATGTTGATCTAATGATAACAAATCAGCAAAAATGTTCCGATATTATTTTATCTGAAATTCATTCTGTCTATGGTTTCACAGTATTGCCAATATTCTCTGTCCTTTACTCAGTGAAAGTAATATGATGCAAGATGTGAATAGCATATGGATGACTCCATATTCTGTATTTCAATTCGTCTATTTGGAATCAATAGTTATGCGGATAGCGTGATGATATTTGAACCAAACGGTAATGAGATTGAGTTACAGAAGGAATATCAACCGCGACATGTGACAGATATATTCGACTACATATGAGGCCCCAATTGTGGAATACACTTCTAACTAAAATCAATCAATCTAATCTGGAGTAACTATTATTGATTCGAACGTGATGATCTATCATTTATAACTAATGAAGTAGTGTCATCGAATAAAATAAAACTGATTTAGTTAAACACGGACAGAATATTTAGAGCAAAATTATATTAGGTTTAATCACAAATTATTCAATCCTATTCAAAATCATGAATTGACAATTGTTAGCCAACGCAATGAGAAACCTGCATGTACTAGACTAATGTTTCCTCCTAACACGACACTCCAGATCAGCGCGTACTCACGGCTTCCAACCATGTCATTGTTACTCAGGAAGTTTCGGCAATGGAGCTGGAGTTGTGATGGTGTTATTGCTTGACAGTGATAAAACCAACTCATTGTGCACCCTAACTCATAGTCACAGGTAGGTGATTACCTCACAATTCACAGAGTTGAAGTGCACATATTACGGCGTATCCATAGAAATCACAAAGCTAGTCACTTAAGAGCACATTTCGAAGATTTCAATGTAACTAAAGAATCTCCACAACTGCATACTGAAAAATTGATTTTTCTCATTTATTTATCACAATTATCTTTGCACCTAAAGGACCGACTTCGCCAAGGTGAGTGAGTGAATTTGATGAACTATTTTCTTCTGATCTCTCCAACTGATTTTTCCTACAATTCACTAATTACGCTGCAATAAATCAGTTGGAGTTACATCTGCCGAAAAATTGAAAATATGCTGACAGTATGTTGATTCGTAACCTACACTGGTTACCAGCAATCTAGAGTCAACCGACAGCCAGCATTCACATACTCACTCTTAACTAGGTCTTCCTTCCGATTTGTAACGAGTTGCCAAGCATTACTTTTTACCTGTTTGCCTCCTATTCTGGACGTGAGATATTCTTGATTCTTCCCCTTTTAGTCTAGCTCTCAGTTTTTAAAATAAGGGATTGTTATGTAGTGTAGCTGGCAGATTTTAATAATGTGTGTCTATAGGTGCGAAACAGATGGGTGGAGCGCTTGGAAGAACTCCTGAATCGGCTTGGTCAACGTAAAACACTAAACACAGTATAACTTCACTTTACATCACAAATGAATTTGACTCACAAACAAATTAAGAGTTCAACATGTAAGCTTCTCTTTACGTCACAAATGAATTTGACTCACAAACAAATTAAGAGAGTTATTTAAGCAAGTGTGAAAACTGCTACTGAATCCTCAGTCTCCTGTGAAACCCAGAAAAGGTCAACAACTGCGTGTTGGTACACATAATGTAAGATGACGAAGTCGCCGAACTTTTGGATGAGCAGGCTAAATTTTTAATGATCTCTCTAAACTGAGAGAATCGACACACAAATGATCAGCATATTTTGCAGAAGTAGGTTTTGAACTTGACAAACAGGAACAGCTTGTTTGTCTGATAAACACACGACCATCACCGAATCAAACCTAACAGAGAAGCTTTAGATTATGTAGGAGCTTTTACGTGTCCGGTCAACGTCGTTGGTGTACAAAATGAATCTGATGCAGATTTGAAAGCGCGGTTATCAAAGCAATCACAGCATGACTATAAATGAAGAATTTCTGAAACACAAAACAGCTGTCGAGAAACACCCAGAGCACAATTTCTGGCTATTTATTTTGACACAATTCTTCTTCGTGATTGGGTGAAAATTCGGAAAACTATGTAAACCAGCATCTTTAAAATACATGTAATCATTGTCACTTGTCTACGCAAAATACTTTGGATTATTTGGCTAGATACTATCAACAGCAACTTGGCGTGTTAGAGAAGAAACAAAATTCCTCTACATGTGGAAGGAACGGATGAAAATCGTTGCAGTTGTAAAGGACAAACATTGTGGTAATTCTCAAAGAGCCTGACAAAAGAAGCTCTCACTTAGAATCCTGATGAACATGAAAAGAACAATTATTTAGTATTGGGAACTAAGTTCATGACAAATGACTTTGAACGATGCTGCTTATGCCTCACTTTCAGGTAACAGATGTGAGTAGCCAATTGGTCGAGATGAATAACGAATAAAATGTTGTGAGTAGGTTTTATCATCATAATCTTTGTAATTTACAGCAATCAAACTACAAAGACATCTAAAAAATGTAAGTTGAATCAAATGTTCCATTAAATTCCTAATACCTGAATTTAACACTAGTTCATGTGATTACACAGCAAGTTCTGGAGTTAAATATCTATTGAGATGAATTCTTATGATACTTTATAAACTGTTTTGTTACCTAATAAGAAATATGTTGTGAATAGTACTTACTTAGTCGCTTGCTTACACTTGTTACTGTCAGTGGACTAAGCATATGACGTCGACCAGCATTCTCAAACCTACTCTGTCATATGCTCTCCTTCTCAGTTCAGTCGAACTGCTGTTTCGAATAAATACTTTCAAGGAAAATAATGTTGGGTAATCCCCATCAGTACTAGTTTTATTGTCGATAAATTGCCCAATTCGTCTGGCCGAAACATCTTCATTTATTACATTTGGTGTGGTTGTAGATGGATCAGTGTAGGTGTATACTTGTATGGGAACAGCTGCGTTTTTGAACGAGAGCAAAGCTGAATGAAGTGTGATGTCGGTGATATGATAAGACAGTTAACTCACGAAATCCGAAGACTTCTATTTTTAAAACAAACAGATCATTCACAGTATTCTTTCACGTGTCTTTTAGTCTTCAAACTACCATTTTAACGAACAGTACATCGGAATGTGAAACAATTTTCTTCAGTAGTAAAAGTTAAGGAATACTCCACCTCATGACATTCACAGTTCACGTTACGACTATTATCTGAAACATTGGTATACCATCAAACATAAACTTATTGAATCCGTGTCAATTTGTTTTCGTTCAAGTGTAAACTGAAAATAAATTGTCACAAAATACAGTCCATTCAGACCATTTGAAAACAAATATACTAGAGAGTAGACTGGAGAAGTTTAGTGAAGACGTCTACATTATAAGTTGATATTAAATGAAACAAATCACTTTATTTAAGTATTATCTGAACAATGTCAAAGTGTTTCACAATTTATTGAGGTGAATATGTTACTTTGTATGATAGCTAAATACAACGGAAAACCTCTTGAGTAAGTGTGTATGAAACCACGTTTTATATGAA